TAACATTTGCTGTTCAAAAAAAAAAAAAAGGAGAGTATAAAGTAACATTTATTTCAACCCCCATCACTCCAAAAGATGTAGAAATTCAAAATTGATAATGTTAGAAAATCTAGTCGCGCAAGGCATTCAAGATTCTTAGTGTAGACGATGTTGTGTTTATGACGAATCGATGGGATAAATGTTTCTTTAATTGCACTTGTACTCGAGCGATATGTCGGGAGACATATCAACGTTTGTTTGATCGCATAACTCTTTTGAAGACGAATTTCGGGTGATTGTAGATTGTCACAGACTCACAGTAACTTGAATCTCCCTTTAGGAACAAGACAACTTCAAATCGGGATTCTTGGATTTAGAAAAGCAGGAATCGACTACTTTATCAAAAACAAAGTAGCCACTGGAACCAAGAACTTCAAAGAGTCCTTCATTAAGAAGATTGTGTAAAAGGAATTATCATGTTTGGAGAAGTCCAGGTCATGGAAGGAAGAATTTAATGTATGATTGCAGTTTAAAACAAGATGAAGAATCATCACGCGACCTGCGTGGATTCTTAGAGACGTAGCAGGAATTTACAAAGAAGCAGGAAAGAGCATAAACAAAGATTGTACTTCATCATTGGAAAGTGAATTGCAAGTGTTATTAGTGGCTATTCAAGACACAATCAGAATGTTGTTCTTGAAGGAGATAACAAATCAGTGAGCACACTTGCCAATGGGAACATAATGATTTTATCGGTTCATAATTGGATACGAGAGATCATATTCTAGAAGGACAAATTCACAATAGCAGACATCAAGTGGCATCAAATTCAGAATAAAGCTGTGGATTGTTTGGTCAATAACCAATGCAAGCTAATCCACAGTATGTGTTTCATTTTCTTGTTCCTCGTTGTATTGCAACAACTCTCCATGAGGAATACTCCAACAGTTATTAACGGAATGAAGTGCATATGTTAAAAAAAAATATATATATATAACAAAGAAACAATTCATTTTTTACTTAAAAACAAATTTATGATTTACAAAGTTCTCAAAGAGATGGAAGAAGGTGAAATTAAACTCTTTCAGAGAGATCAAATTACAGGATTTGAGAATTCAGAAAATTTTGATCTTATCAAAGAGAAGCTAACAAGCTCAAAAGCATATAAGCATTTTAAACACATGGGTAATGGGCCTACGAGCCTAATAATCAAATTGGGCCAAGCCGAAAACTGATCCTTTTCGAAACAGGGTGTCGCTGGCAACGAGATGAAAGGGTAACGTGACCTCCGACACATATGACTACAGATTTTACGTCGGCAGCAAAAACAAACGACGGAGTGTTGAAATGCTTCTTCGAGTTCCAAGTGTAGATCTCGAGAGAGGTGGCGCTTCGGTTAGGTGGAGGGGGAGCAAGCGGCGGGGAAGCGGAGTGTAGGAGCCATGGCCGGTCCTGAGATATTTGAAACCCTATACCAAAAAAATTGTGACAAAAATATTTATATTGATATATAAAATATTTCAATAGAAAAACATTAATTTATTTCATAAATTTATATTTGATATAAAAAGTTACATAACATTTGCTTAGGAAAAAATTATTAATTGATATATTTTTGTTATATTTTCCTTGTTTATATATATTTCCACTACATTAATTTTTTATTTTATAAAAACCAGTATTTTTTTGTTTATTGTTCTCTATTACACAATTATCTATCAAAATTATATTTTTTTACATAAGAATTTTTTTTTTTTTAAAAAGCCCCAACACCAATTTTTCATGTGTATGGCCTCAGGGCCGGGCCTAGTAGGAGCCATGGCGGTCGAAGCAAAACAGAGGAAGATGGCCATATCGAGCAACGTGCCAGAGGGAGTTTAAAATTAGGGCGAACTCACCCACGTTAGTTGATTGTCTACAAAGTGTTTGTTTATTCATGGATTTTTCTTCATTTTTGTTTGCACTTCATTGTTTCTAAGAGTACTACTGTTAACGGATTTTAATAAAATAAAATAAAAATTCGTATTGATCATTATGAAAATAGTCATTAAAAAAAAATACAAAAGCACATGCAACTCATGCATTTATTACCGTGATACCTAAAAACCCTAAAGAGGACACACGATGAAAACCAAAAGCAAACCCTAAAACCCACTAATCAGCCTGGCTGGATTCCGATGAGAGTCACAGGCTAAATGATCCGCTGGGAACAAGCTGCTTGAATAGACCAAGGTAAGTTTGGTAGAGTAGATGCTCCTTAGAACCGGTTTGATGTTGACTTGTCTTGTCACAAAAGTACTTGAGTTGTTCCAAAGTACAACTTCCCAACATTTGCCCTAAAAAAAGAAACAACCAGTTGATTTCTTCCTTCTTTTCGCTAATCACCGGCTTCATCGGGCTCTCGCATGAGCCGCAAAGAGTCAGTTTCGGACTCGTCCATATTTTCGGGGCTCTATTTCGCAGCTCCTCGTTGTTATTCGAAATATATAGATACAATTCCATAAACTTCTCCTTGAGATTATATTCCAACGTTTGAATCTTCTCGCAAGGCCTGCATTGGACTTGTCCAGAGATCACGTTAATATTATTGGACGACAAGTACCTGTAATTATGAACTACGGCTAACTTTGAGGTGGCCCATGGATAGGGTGGTACGATGCCGTTTCTTTCAACCGCAACTGATCTTGATGAATTACGACCAGCGGGTGGCCGACCTAACCTAGGTCCCGGTCGGGGATTCCTCAACGCCCCAACTCCATCCTGGATCTGTTGAGGAGGCTGAAGGACTTGTCCTGATGGTGGATAAGGCGATGGAGTAACAACTGAAACGACTCCAGGCGGTGGAGGCAGCGGAAGAGCCGGCATGGGTGAGATATTCCAAGGGGTTATGACGTTGGTGTAGTATCCAGGAGGCGTCATGTGATGAAGAGGAGGAGGAGGTGGCTGGATATTTGGCGGTGAATCACTTTCTGATCTCAAGAGTTGCATGAAACTCGGTTCCTCCACAGGGTTCTCGACGAGGTCCTCGACGGGAAGGCCCAAGGAGAGATCAAGGTTGATACGATGTTCTGGTTTGTTCTCATCACTCATGATGATTTTGAGTTAGAAAAAAAGTTTTTTTGTGGTTTAAAGATTAGAGAATACATCCGCGATGTTAGATTAAATGGTACCTATTGTTGATGAACACTAACAAATCATTTATATATATATCCGTACGTGTTG